GTGTGTGTGTGTGTGTGTGTGTGTGTGTGTGTGTGTGTGTGTGTGTGTGTACCAGATACTGACCTGCGAAAGGTGGCGCCTTGATGCAGGTACGGACGTGCTGAAGATGAAGCTGGAGCGATGGCGTCACAGGTAAGTCCCCTGACCTCCGCCACTGCCTCTCTCCTGCCAGCGCTAACCTAGATCCTATCAACACCCAGCGCTGGAAGACTACCGCTCCTATCGTCGACTACTACTACGCTGATGTCGTCTGAAGAGTGCCTCCACTCAATCCCCTAGACTGAGGCTGGGCCCAGCTATATATAGCGTTGGGTCAGCCTCGGCTGCTGTCCGAAAGTCTGGTGCCCAAACTGAGGAAGGGCCTCAACGGCCAAAACGCCTACTGAAACGGCGCGGCCTCTTGACTGGCGCTAAAATGCGTGCCAGGGCCTGTATCCTAAACGAGGCCTACACGGCCTCTAAAAGGCACTGGTCCTAGTGGGCCTAACCTGGCCTACAGACCCTACGGGCCCCAACGTGAGCCGAAACGACACAGAGCCTGACCGCTACTACCCCCTAGCTTACGTGGTCGGGCCCTGCTGGGCCCGTGTGGAACCGAGTATGCCACACCCCCCCCTCCTTGAAAGACCGAGCTTACCTGCGAGGGTGAAGCTGTCTAGCGGAGGGAGGGACCGAAGTCCGGGTGGGAGGGGCAGCCTTTGAAGCTCCCGTGGCTTGTCGTCGTTTCTCATATTCAGCGTAGATAAGTGGTGCGGAGGCTTGCAAGGCTGCTCGTGAAATCCTTGAATGTGACCTTGTACTGCATTTTTTTGGCTCTTGCCGTGCTTGCAATGTGTGATGATGCGATCGGCTTCCTGATGCCCACCCATAGGAGCGTCCTATGATCGTCGGTCCGGGAAGTCATCGTTCTTTGCTGGTGTATACGTAGCCAGCTTTGATGAGTGGAAGACTGGATGGACCAACATATGTGGCGGGATGTCGATCACAAAAGATGGGTCGTCGAGCTCGTCACCTGCAGCTGAAATAACGGTCCACGGGCCAAACCACTTGGGAAATAGTTTGCGCAAAACATTATGTTCGAGCGCAAACTCTTCCGCGAAGACCCAAACAAGGTCGCCAGCACGGATGGGACGTGGCACGTGACGCCTATTGGCTTGTTGTTGCATGCAGACTTGAACCTTTTGCATGTTGGAGCGGGCTTTAGCCAGCAAGTCCCGATACTTCCGAACGGAGGCGGGACAACAAGCGGTGTCAATGTTGGACGTCCGTGGGAACAAAAGATCAGCGAAGATACGGCCTTTCCGGCCACTGTGGTGCAACTTGAATGGAGTCGCACCGATCACCGGATGCAACAAAGTGTTGTAGGCGAACTCGATGTCAGGGAGGCGGTCAACCCAATCCTTCTCATCCTGACGGATGAGCGTGTGAGGCATCATTTGAGCGGTTTGATGTGCCCCCTCCGTATGCCCGTCCGTTTGCGGATGCCGAGCCAAACTCGGTTTCATCTCGGTGTCGGACTCCTTCATGAGAAAAGTCCAAAATGCCAACATAAACGAGTGTCACGGTCGCTAACGATGTCTTCCGGAACGCCGTGGCTGCAAATCCAGCTGGTGTGCAAGAGTCTCGCAAGCTCGCGAGCCGTGGCGTACTTGCTCAAACGGTCGACGACCGTGAGAATGTCGTTGTGCCCGAAGCGGTCACAGGGGAACAGGTTAGTGACGTCCATAGCAATGGAGAGGCCGGGTTCCCACGGGATGGGCAACGGGCGTAACTCGCCGTAGGGATTGCGATTGCGGGGCTTGCTTCATTGGCAAACTTCGCAAGAGTCGCAATACCGAGTGACGTTGGTGATGAGGTTAGGCCACCTGAATCGTTGCCGAAGTCTTGCGACCATACGGTTGACTCCAAAATGGCTAGCGAGTCGCGAGTCGTGGTATTCGCCGAGTCCATAAGCAACGGTCTTGTGGGACACATAGTAAGTCCTCGTCGCGTGAATGAAGAAGAAAGTAGCCGTCGACGCTGCAATAGTGGCTGACCGGCGGGTGATCCGAGGATAGTCGCTCGCTCGTAGAGCGTGGTGTATTCCGAATATGACTTGTATGCTCGCACAAAATGCTGATGTAGGGTGTCGTTGAAATTGAATGCGTGGTGAGTCAATGCACAAAGATCTGATCTTCGTGAGAGAGCATCCGCGGCTCAGTTGGAGAAACCCGAAATGTGTTTCTGTGTGAAGTCGAATTGGTCGATGAAGTACATCCATAGAGCGATCATGCTACTTACCGTGTCTTGCGTCTTGTAGTAGGTCAATGAGTTGTTATCGATAGCCCAAGTGAACCTATGACACCCGAGGAGGAAGTGTTGCCAGCGCTTGAGTACCGTGACGAAAGCCAGCAACTCTTTCTTCCCCGCATCATCAACCGAGATGATGGGAGGCACATTTTAGCTGAAGTACTCGAACGGATGCCAATTCTCTCCGTCGTGTTGTTCCAAAACTGCACCCATGTCGTAGCTGGAAGCGTTCGTAGTCACTCGCGTAGGCAAGGAGGGGTCGTAGATACTCAAGATAGGAGCGAGGAGCAACGTCGTATATGGAGCGAACTCCGCACTTCGTCGGTGAATTGGAAGGGCACCTTTGGAGATTGCAATCTTGGCAAGGGTGCAGCAATCCGTGCGTATCCACCAACGAAGCGTTGGTAGTACCCGACCAATCCCATAAAAGAGCGAACTTTCGTGGTGTTGGTCGGTTCCGGCCTATCTTGGATGACCTTGATCTTGTCTGCGAGTGGACGGATGCCTTGCGGTGTCACAAAGTGGCCTAAGTACTTGATCTTGTTGTGCGAATTCGCACTTGGCTTGGTTGGCCTTGTACTTGGCCATTCGTAGCCTGTCCAAAACGGCGCGTACATGCGTGATGTGCCCATCAAAGGTCCAACTATACACCAAGATGTTGTCGAGGTACATGAGCACGAACCGGTCCAACATGTCGCGGAACTCCGTCGTCATTGTCGCTTGGAAGGTGGTCGTGGCATTCGTGAGGCCGAATGGCATTACGACCCACTCAAAGTGCCCGTACCATGTCTTGAACGCGGTTTTGTAGCGATCTCTTGGATGGATCTCAAGCTGGTGGTAACCCGCCTCGAGGTCCAACTTCGAGAAGTACTTGGCACCGCCCAAACGTTCGAGGAGATCGTCGATTCGTGGGAGCGGGCTCACATTTTTAACGGTTTGAGCATTAAGCTTGCAATAGTCGATGCATAAGCACAACTCCTTGTTCTTCTTCCGGACGAAGAGAACGGATGCACCGTAGGGTGAGCAGCGAGGGCAAATCCAGCCCTTGGCAATGAGCTCATCGAGTTGCATTCGAAGCACTTCGAGTTCCTCCTCGCTCATGCGGTAAATACATTCGCGCAGAGGTACGGCCCTGTCTTCGAAAATGATCTCGTGACGAATTGGCTGATCCGGTACGATTCCGGCAGGGGCTTCGAAGACGTCGCCATAGGAGTCAAGAAGCTCTACAATGCGTGGATCTGGTGGCGTTTTCGTCGCTGGTTCATCAGGAGGAGGGAGGGCGTGCAAGAAGCAAATGCCCATTTCCTTGATGTTGTGTCGTGCGATGGAGTTTCTAATGTTTGTCGTGGAGACCACGTGACAACCAATTGAAGGGTGAGGTGGAGACACCTTACATGGGACAAGTACCCCGTTCCAGTCATGAACGTGAACGGTGCGGCAGTAGAAGTTCATCAGGTGGTCCGAGCTTCGCAGCCAAGACATGCCCAAAATCATGTCAAACTTCGTGTCCAAGATGTCGAAGGACACGGCCTCGAGTACGTGTGGGGCGAAGTACACGGGGACGGAGTCAATGCACCAGTCAATGGACTTGTGCGTATGACCATTGGCCCACGTGACTTGCGTGGGTTGCGACTTCCTTCGAACGGGCGACCCAGGGCCGGCGCTCGCCATGAAGTGTTGGCTGATATAGTTGTGAGTAGCTCCACAATCGATCAGGGCGTTGCAGGTTGACTTCCCAATCTGAATGCGGATGTAAAGTAACGGCGCGTCGATGTTGTCGTACATTTGTGTGGCATACTCGTGGTCGATCTTCGCAATGTACTCGCGAAGGTCAACAACCACTACTCCGTCTTCCATCAACGGAGTTGGTACTGCAACGTGCAGGTAGTTGAGTAGCTCCGCCATTAGGGCGTTGCAATGCGGCTTCGGCAAGCAACCGGATGGGGGAAGAGGCAACCATTGGAAGTCTTCTGGAGTTAATGGGTCGAGGTCCGCAAGTCTAGACCACACCCACGAGTCCCCGAAATGTAGTATCGGTGTCGAGCGCATTGGTCCGGCGCCACACAAGGTAGCGTGGGACCCTCCCGGCCTCGTCACGCAGGAGTTGGTCTAAATCCTCGTCGCAAATATGCATGGAGCTTCCGCAAGCCGCTCCGGCCGAGTGCGCCAGCCATACCTCCCGCGWGCCCCTACRRCAGGATAGGGCCTACGCGAGGCASGACTTACCTCCACCTTACGGGATCTGTCACCTCCCTTCGGTGGGCGTATYCCCCCCGAGCTACCAGTCCCCAGTACGAAAGCTGATCAGTTGCAATCGCAGAGGTGGACCAACCGAGGGCGTTTCTCGTTCGCTGTAGCATAGGGGGTACGCACGTTATTACGCCTCTATCGAACCCGCACGCGAAMCGACATCTTGGGGGGCTGAGGTCCCAAGCACGACTCGTCRTCGGTCGACTAGGACGTATCCCACATACACCACGCACACACCATTCTAAAGAACATAAAAATAAAAACACGCACGTACACACACCTATACATATGCAGAGCGACACTGGACAAAAGAGCGCGACAACACTCCTAGTCCCTTAGTAACCATCCCATAACTTTCCAAYGCGGAAATCAGATAAGCGTCGCGCGTGAGAYTTAGTATAAAATCGTGCGGACGCAGGGCCTACTCATATCGACTAGCAATGCAAGCGTACGCAAGCGGGCGCAGTGATGGCGTACTATGTAGTACCCATACTCATGCGGTCCTCGTTAGTCTCGAGGGTCGCGTTCAACACTCAAGTGTCGGCTGACACACGCCTTGAGGGTTAACCTTTCGAAGYTGGACAACCGCCAAGTGCGGTTGAGAACCACACCCTCTTCTGCACCCTGCGGAGAGTGGGTGGTACACAGGTTTATACCTGTGGCGGCAATCGTCTCTTATGGCCTTGGAGACCAACCCCTTCTACCTAGGGCGTGGAGAGAAGTCAAGGGGTTTGACTTTGCCGGCTGCCACGTGCTACCACGTTCGAMCATGGAAACTCTAAAAAACAAAGGATAAAGAGGGATCTCCCTTTTCTCTCAAAAACGTAATCTGCTTAACCCTTACGCGCGATCACTGTAGGCCGCACGAAACACTCAAGACATATATATTCACATATATATGAAGGGTTATTAATATAGGACGATCACTTCTCACAGTCACAGTGAGACTTCTCTCAGCCATATATATATGTATGTGAGCGCAGRCAGTCAAATCCAAAGTCCGAATCACCAAACATACCTGCAATCACATCGAAGATTCAACGCAAAGCCATTCACTACACAGGGTCAACTTCAACCATTCTCTTGACTCACACCCCTTGCTTTTAGCCATACAAGCCTCACTCTTTGTGCAACTCCTCAAAACAAAATACTCAGTACTTTTCTTAAATGGTCATTCAAATAAAGTTCGGACGAAAACACAACAAAACAATTCAAATCACAAGGCTAAAGCCTTWAGGTTGAGTGGCATGAGTGAATTGGAGTTGAATCGTAAACCGACGAATCGMCAACCGGCCTRTTATCAGTGATAACAGAAGATGATCCTCGTAGGATCAAGCTGAATCTAGACCAAGTCCTGAATCAATCGATTAAGAAGACCTGAAACACAAGACAGGCCAATGCAGAGAAGCAGCTCCTGCTACCCTCTTTGCCGATCATGGCCCGTGCAACCCGCTCAGTTTTGTATGTGCCAGCCTCCAGCTCCAAGAGCGAGTGCAACTTCTCCGATGCGGGAAACACAATGCCGAAGAAAAGGAATGGTCTCAATCCTTTGTGCGATCAAACAAAGATTTGATCAGTAATTTATAGATGTTGCCGAAGAAAAGGAATGGTCACAAACGGGTCGCACAACTACTTCTCTCTTCATTGGGTATATGACTAAGCCATTCGTCTAAGAAACAATGCATAGTCGCCCTGATCTGTTTAAATAGCCCAGTTATATGTATCTCTCTGAGTTTCGACGTTTAAAAGTGGGCGTAAGACTGAGCCATTCATCTTAGAAACAATGCTCAGCCGGCCCAAGTTACCTTCAATTATAGCTCTACGTTATACTCTCTTAATTTGTGATAAGGCTATAGTCAGACCATTCATCTTAGAAACAATGTCTGACTAGCCTTGTTCTCACAAACATATAGATATAGAAATATAGAGAGTCATATTCCTTTCCTCATATTATAATCATGTGGCCTCAGACTTACACCATTCATCTTAGAAACAATATCCAGTCTTTGGCCTGAACCTCCCTCATAATAAAACCACCAAAAGAGTTGAGTCATTCGTCTTAGAAACAATGATCAACCCTCTTTTCTCAGCACAAAAAAAAATAGAGTACCGTGGGTCAAGACCCAGAGACTGTTCGGAAACCACCCAAAAATAAACAGCGACCAGACCATTAATCTTAGAAACAATGTCTTGTCCTCAAGATTTGCACAATCAATACCCCACAGAAACAACAACCAGGTCATTCATCTTAGAAACAATGTCTGGTTAAATTAAATAAACATAGCGACCAAGTCATTCGTCTTAGAAACAATGTTTGGCCCTTCAGAAAACAGAACAAAACACAGCAGTCAGGCCATTCATCTTAGAAACAATGCCCGACCCTATAAGACCCGTTCAAACACAAGCAAAACTGCCTTCCTCCCAACCTCCCCCCTGATGCAACCCCCTTTTTCACAATCTGCTTTCAGTCAATCAATAAAACTGAAACTGAGATTCAAAACATATCAAGAAGTACAGGTAGGGGTTATAATTGGGTTTATAAAGGGAGGTGGAAGATTACCACTCAGTTCCCTGTCTCCAACTCCTCCTGAGTTTCGGCAGAGCTCCCGCAATCGGTGGGTGGACTCCCCACAAAGTCTTGCTGCGGTCCTACGGGTTGCAATCCCGCCTGCCGCCTTCCACTCAGAACCAATAGACCAGACTTAGAGTAAGAAGGACATAAGTAGAATGGTTTAGTCTCTCAGATCACAGAGAGGTGCACTTAGACCCGCGGGAGAGGGCCTTGGTATCTTGAATCGCCTGAGGGCCCGGCAATGGCGGCCAGAACGCATAGTTGCTTAGTCAACTATAGTCAAACTACCTGTTGTTGCTTCTCTGGCGTTTCTCATGATTTCAGTAATAACCTCCTCCTGAAGCATCTGATCACTCCTTTTAAATTGCAGCAATAGCCTCGCTCGTTGACCAAACCACTTTTTCAAACCACACTTCCCCATATATGGCTAGGACTCCACAACACAGCCTAGAGCGACTGCTTCTAAATACGGCACGCCTCCTATCCTGAGCCCTGTTCAAACTCCAATACTATAGGGTGAGCGTAGCATGCACAGCAGCCGCACTGAACAACCAGTTCCGCAACAACACTTTACGCTAACCCAGTAAAATCTTAGCTCTTTCCAACAACTCTGGGCGTGTAACGTACCGTAGCACACAGCGCAGTCCGTAAGACCCAACAACGCGCTTAGCAGGCTCAGCAAAATGCGCAACAAGTGCACTGTCCATACACAGCGGGACACGATATATGTTGTAATAACTCAACCTGTCAATAGCAACCACAAGCCCCTACTGCACAGTTGTCCGCAACCTACGAGTTGGCAGCGTATCCTGTTGCCGTCGTCAGCAACAACTTAGGTGCTCAAAGATGTCCACCTTTTAGACCACCCACCGCCAGGACCAGGTACGTGTTCACGTTCATCTCCCTCACTCTCTGACTCTTTGTTTTTGCTGCTCGCGCCTCCCGCCCGTTTTTCCTAGCCTTTATTCCCACGGTCTGTATCTGGTCGCATGCCAGATTCCAGTTGTTATGAGAACAACGACTGAAAGGATGACTGCGTTCGGACGAGAGACTGTACTAGAGCGGGCACAGCGGAAGTCGGCAACCTCAATCAACCGACACTGCTACCACCACGACGGATTTGGTGGAAACTAGCACGGCGTCAGATGCGACGGTGAGCAGCACGGATGGTAGCGATCCCGATGAAGCACTGGGATGATCACATCATTAACTATGAACAACACAGGCCAAAATCAGAGTGCCTGCGAACAGGAGCTCCGAGATTACACTGTCAAACCGCGCTGGTGAAGGCACCATCGGATAGAACCATGCCCCTACTCACCAAATGTGTAAAACGAAAATGAACCTTCTGCTAATAGGCGGGGAGATACGTTCCTTGCTATCTGGGTTCGCAGTCTTTCGTTTAGTTCATCCTACAATGCCAATTTCGCCTACCAAAAAATGGCCTACTTGGGGTCGATCCGTTCGCAGTTCGCCATCATAGTTTAACTTATTCCAGATCCCGTATCGCTGCTTTCCCGAGGTAAGTCTTTATCGAACGTCTTCCTCTCTCTCTTTGTGCGTCCCGCTTACTTCGACAGCTACCCTCCATCGATCGCTCGTTGCCTCCTGCTCGATTGGCTTCGGCCATCCCTCTCTCTCTGTCTCTGTCTGTCTCTCTCTCTCTCTCTCTCTCTCTCTCTCTCTCTCTCTCTCTCTCTCTCTCTCTCTCTCTCTCTCTCTCTCTCTCT